GAAGTTTTGATTGCGACGACAATGCCCCCAATCTCAGTCAATTAACGGACGGCGAAATCTGTAGTATGGTTCTAGATCCAGAAAATACCGCTTCCGATAATGAAGAAAGTGACAGAGAGGTTATTGAAAACGAAAAAATTTCGATTGGCAAGTTAGTCGATATTCTCGACACAGCAATTACAGGACTTGAACAGTGGAACTTTGTAACTGAACAAGAAATTATGTCTGTTTATAGAATTAAAGAGAAAGTATTAGCACAAAAAATGAAGCAACTTAAACAACTTACGTTGAAAGAAATGTTTAATAAAGTAAACAAATAAATATTAAGCTTTTTTTTTTTTTTTTTTTTTTTTTTTTTTTTTTTTTTTTTTGTAAATTTGATACCCTTTAGATCATAACTGTTCTTTATTTCATAAATTACGGTTTCATATTTTTAATTTTATAATTTCAGCATGCCATCTTGCCAGAGATTTAAACTGATGATCTATAATACGGAAAAATCGATAATCCGGTATCGCCGAAGTACCGACGATCGGATTAACGACTTTTGACTGTAGTTCAACTTATGGCCTAAGGCCATTTGGCCATTTGCAGTAATTAAGTCAATTAGGATGCAATCACGCAGCTCACCAAGGCAAAAGTATAGAAAGACAAAGTCAATTAAATTCATCAATTGTAATGAGAATGCTCTAGCGAAGTTAAGCTACGGTTTTACATAATTTCGAGTAAGCTGTTCGTTAACAATTGAAATAATTTTGCATTAAACTTGTATTCCATAGATTTAATTTAAAATTTAACTTGAAATTAATGCAGAGAATTACTGAGAGAATTGGATTTTTGTAGCGTAGTTTATGTGAGAGGAGGTTACTTGATATGAACCGGTGTGAATCAGGATGTTGAATCATGAGATATAGTAAATTCTTAATGTCTTTTTTACAAATTTATTGTCTTTTTTATTGGCTTTTTTTACAAAATTTTAAACAACATTAAAATGTTATAACTTCAAAATAAAAAAATTCTTACAACTAACATTTGTCAACATTTTTTATGTGTATACTGTGTGTTTTCGCCAAGAAAGTCTGCTTGGCGAAATTTGCGCCGGCGAAACGGAAAAGTACCCAAATAACCTATACCAAACAAATATTTTTGCGTCCAAACAGGACATATACCAAGTCGGACTCATTTCAAATCGAACGTACACCCCGTGGTTCCACTGGATATTTTCTATATTTTGCAGCTGATAAGAGGTAAAGTCAATTCACAAAAACTACTGTTGAGCTTTTAATAAAATGCAGAACAGAGTGTTTATAACTTACGGAATTCTTTATATCATGCTACATCGTTATTAATGAGAGAAAAATCCATCTTTTAGTATAATTTAATTAAATTTCAGTCTCTGCTGACAAATATTAATCCATCTATATCCTGTATATATCATATATTTTTTAACAATTCGGAGGATATCAGCGATTTTTGTGTGACACAAGTAAAGATAAGAAGTTACTGCCAATCAGCGAAGCATAAAAAGCTTTCTTTTTTAATTTTGTACTGTAAAAGAGCGCTGTTAATAGCATATCAAAGTACCAAAGCCAGGCAAGGACACGACCAAGTCAGAGGGCTTCCGCCCTATTAGCCTTCTCCCCGGTCTTGGGAAAATAATTGAGCGGATTATTCTGAAACGCATGAAGCCTTATCTGGAGAAGCTTCCTATTGAGCAATTTGGCTTCCAACGCTCGCTATCCACCCCGAAGCAGCTTATTAGGTTCGCTGAATACATTGGCAGCTCTCTACATAATCATCAGACTGTCGCCTACTCATGCTAAACGTGGCGAAAGCCTTCGACCGCGTTGGCGAGGGGTTTTCAAGGTATTAACCGGTTTTCGCCTGCTTTTAGGATATTATCTTTTTTGCGAGCGTAAATTTCATGTTCTAGGAAGGAGCTCGGACTTTAGAGAGACATAGGGCCGGCGTCCCACAAACGGAGTATTTTAGGTCCTGTCTTGTATTATTTTATGTCGCAGACCCTACCAGAGCCAAACTGGATTATAATTATTTTTTAGATGCTACGTGACACACTGCACTAGCATGAAGTCGGCAACCCCAAACTTGCGATCGCAAGGCAGAGCATTATACGCAAATTAGCATGGTGTGCAAATGGGGATATGTCAATGCGGATAAATCCCAAACTACTGATTATAAGGAGGAAGCACTCACGACTTATCACTGAGAAACTATGCTCTTCAACACTCAGGTCCTTATGTTAACAAGCAAAGTATTTAGGTATTGTACTCAACACCAAGTTCAAAAGGACCAATTAAACGTTGGGGAAAACTATCGGCGTGATTTCAAAGTCTCCCCTCTACTCAGTACGATTCAAAATTAGACTTACGAAGAAAAAAAGGCATTTCTACATTTCGGTCATCAGACCTTTCTCTATGCTCGCCTGCATGGAGGACTAGGGATTTAGATAAACTGCAATTATGTAGAAAAATTGGATTTGTAAAAAAAAATGAAAAAGCGGTAATAATGAAGATGATTATTGCGAAGTTTTGATTGCGACGACATGCCCCAATAATCAATCATTAACGGACGGCGAAATCGTAGTATGGTTCAGATCCAAAAATACCGCTCCGATAATGAAAGAAAGTGACAGAGAGGTTATTGAAAACGAAAAAAATTTCGATGGCAAGCGTCGATTTCGACACAGCAATTACAGGACTGAAAGTGGAACTTTGTAATGAACAAGAAATTATGTCTGTTTAGAATTAAGAAAGTATTAGCACAAAAACGAAGAACTTAAACTAACTTACATGAAGAATGTACTAAGTAAATAAAATAAATTAAACTTTTTTTTTTGTTGTGTTTGTAAATTTGATACCCTTTAGTCATCATTGCTTTATTTATATTACGATTTCATATTTTTAATTGTATAATTCTGCATTCCATCTTACCAATTTAAATTTATGTCTATAACCGGAAAAAAAACACCCTAATCCGGAATCGCCAAAGTCCGACGAATCCAGATTACGGACTTCATGAATACTAAAAGTTTAAACAAAAAATAAAGTCTTCAATCATAATAGATCTCAATGAAATCATTTAATATTATTGGAAAAACCAATTGAAGACATCATTAAGCACTCATTACAGAACTAAAGGGAAAAGTAATTCCAGGTGGCAATATGTAACAGTGCTTGATTTTAGGCAGAAAAACTCCAATTTTTTTTTTTTTTTTTTTTTTTCCCAATGAGATTGTGAACATTACAAATGAACCAGCCTTATATATAAAGCGGATGTGGTGTTCTTTATTATGGAGGCACCTAATAGGTGGGCCACCGTCGCCTTTCCTATAAAGAGACGGACAGTTACAACCATCTTTTCTCCGGGATTCGAACCCAGACCCTTCGGCATCGCAGTCAGCTTCCCTGACCGCTATACCGACTGGGCGGCAGAAAACTGCAATTACGTAACTAAATGGGGATTAGACGAAGTGCAAAACGCGATGCAACAGAACTGTAATGAACAAAAGTTTGCATACTTTGAAGAAACGTTTCTATCAAGCGGAAATATTTTTTGCTATTATTTTTAACGTCAGGATTACGTTCTTTCATAATGGTCTGATGGAAAAGCAAACATTGAGACGCTATTTGAGGCGACAGCAAATGCTTATATTTTCGAAACTACAAGCTTTACAATCAATCTAAATACATCATTAAATAGATGAAAGAGAACATTAGTAAAATCGCAAAAAAAAAAAAATAAAAATTCGACGAAGGATATACCCATAGTAACGCGTCAACAAATATGAAAATTTTGGTGAAGCACGCTACGTGTGTGCGACCGCGTGTGAGTGGCAAACTGGTCTGGTAGACAGTCGCGCGTAAACAGTTACAGTGTATTCGGGTGGTATTTGCTGTATTTTATTTTATTTCTTGAAGCTAGTGGCGTTGAGATTTAGAGATTTGACGAGTGTAACAGACTGTGCAATAACAGAATTTACTGTTAAGCAGCGTAAGAGGGCACAGGATTCAGAAGTAGGCGATATTTGTATGATTGATGTAATTGTTAATGGATAGTCAAGATTTATTGTAGCATCCGGATACAATCATCCAATTGTTAATTCAGGAGATCTGACGAGTTCTTGTTTAGTTCATGGGTGAAATATTCTGACACTACAAAAATCTACGTTAATAGTATACTTTTGTTAAAAATAAATGGAACTGCATTTAAAGGATATTAACATTGTATTAGAATATCTGAAATAATATCCTTTTTAAAAGTACTTAAATGTCGGATCGGATATAATAATCTTAGAATTAACAATTAAATTCAAAAAGTTAACCCAGTTTCAGTTATATTTATCTCGCATTTTGTAACCATCAATATTTGTTAATTACATTAACTTTTCGTTAAATAATTTTCAATTTTTGCATAACAAAGAAAAGGTAGTCGTTTACTTCAAAAATGAAATTCATGTCCTTGAGTACGATTGTCAATTATTTCCAACGCATTTCGAAATACCCTTCTAGATTATAAGCGATAAATTTCTGTATACGATTAGATGATGTTTACAACTCAAAATGAGGATTTCATATACCTTGATTAAAGAATATGCATTTGTCTGATAATCATTATAGCTATGATTAACTTTTTTTTATCCAGTAAAAACTGGTTTATAAGTTTCATTATGAGTAAACTTCTTATAGTTCTCAGTAGAAGAAATTTGGATTTAAATCGATTAATCTTATCTGATCGTCCCATTTGATTTGCCTGAGCAAATTGACAAATCCGGATTGCTTGGATCAAACCAATCACCATATGCATTCTCCATCTCTATCGGGGTTTAAAGGGCAAATTTTGCGCTTCGTCATCAGCAATCCTTCATAACCGGAAAACACCCGTTGAAGGCCACTTTAAACAATCTCTTATCCTTAAATGCAGATAAATTTCACACGTTTTTAATATCATCCAAAACAAGATACCATTATGATAAAAATAGCATCTGCATTTCACTTAAATAGGGGGGCAAACAAGCAAAAAAAAATTATATCCGATCCTGAAGACTTTATGAACTCGTTAGTTTATTCTTGAAGCCATGGATACTTTACCTTGTGATGCAACAAACGATTTCAATGGTGTTCATCGAACAATGTATTGAAAAGTAATGGCTGGGCAAATCTTAGGTATATTTTTATCTATATTATTCAGCACTTCTTATAATTGCAATTTTTTAATGTGTTATTCATGCAAAAGATAATTTGCGAAAAGCGCTTCATTTTCCATAAAAATTTAATAATGTCTTATATTTTAAAATAATTGACTAAATTATTTATCAATACTCGAAAAATATTCGTTTTAATATTAAATACAGGTTTTGAAACCTAAAATTTTCGCTAAAGAAAATAATATGTTAAATATTTTTTTAATAAAAAATGTTGAGAAAGTAAAGATAAAAACTAATTCTGTGAAATATCTGCAATTATTATTATAATGCTTGTATTTCGTACAGCTGAATGAAGGAAACGTAGAATATGAGACATCAAAACAGAAATAGGAACCTAACATTTTTTTAAGCTTTATTTTCTTAAGAAGACATACCCTGAACCCATTAATGATAACTGTAGTTATTTTCATTTCAGTAAAATATCTGTAGTGTCGAAAGTAAAATAGCTATAGTTCGAATATGGCCATTTGGAAGTCCAAATTTGAAATTTGTTTTATTATCTATTTCATATTTTGTAAAGCATTTATACTTATTGCGTACTCATGTGTACGGCATTCAGAAGCCTTTCGTTTCTTGAAAACGTCTTCCACGAATACATTCCTCTTTTAAGCAAAAAAGCCCTCGTGTGCTCCACCGTATCTTATTAAACAAGCGAACATATATTTATCGTAATTCAACATTTAATATAATCTCTCGGAAATCATTTTTTAACATTTTAGTTCAATACCTCAACGCTTTCAGCTACTAATCCTAACTCATTTTTAGAATAATTTTCATTTACCAAAAATGGCCAAGAAATAATTGTTCAATATTTTTTATGTTAATCTGTCTTAAAAGTTCAAGATCTGCATTTTAGTATAAATAAATTGCAGGCAACAAATGATCGCCTATCGAAGAATAACGAACAATTCTTGCTATTTTTAAAATAGCAGGATTCACTTATAAACTTATAAGATATTTCTCCCACCTTCTTGGCGTGCCTTCGTGGTTTAGTGGTTCTGCACGTGGGCCGGTATTCCAGGGTCCGGGTTCGATCCCGGCGAAAGCGTTGCTAATTTTTCATCTCTTCGACTTCCAAAAAAATCCTAATGTCCCTACAATCTAAACATACTCTCAATACCTTATTCTCTGATTTCGGAAGTGTGCAAAACAATTCGGTTACGTTGTATGATTGTGACTGTAATTCAGGTGAAGACCTTAGGGTTACCTCGTGATTATTATGTGACCTTAATCTTCCGAAAATCACTCACTGGTATTGTAACAACATCAGCTTTCACTTGATTACTAATTATTTAGCATGGCTGTGATGAGATAATTTTGTAACTTTTCTTTTCTTCATTTGTCATGTTTTGTAATTGTTTATACATTTATTTTATTTATATAGCATGCGTGCTTCTAGATATATTAAATGCTTTAAAGTATTGTCTGTCCGGAAAAGAGGTGATGCAAAAAACACATGTAAACTCTGCACAAAAAAGAAAAAAGAAAAGGAAAAAAAAGGGGGGACAGTTCTATAGCTCTCTTTCTACTGGACCAATTGACGAAATTCAACTAGCCTTTTTCCTGTCTCGAAAGCGCAACTTAATATATATATTTGATTTATACACAGCGTTCTTCTAACATAGGTATTTTGACACAAAATTGGAGTTTTTTCTAAAATAATATACCTTTTTTTTTTTTTTTTTTTTTTTTCATATTTCATTCTACGCCCAAATTGTGCTTAAATCTTTTTTTTTTAGTCCAAAGGACAAAGAGCAATTAAAAGGACTGTCTTTCGTTGGCATTTTGCGTTGAATGTCTGTTCACTTTTAATTGTTGCCCCAAAATAGCGCCGGTATTATATTTAAGAAATTATATGATAAAGAATCTGATCCATGATGTATGTTTCCCCATTGAATAAACCCGGTACATAGAGACATCCAATTTTGCATAGCGTGCGTTTCACCCGAATATATGCTATTTGGAAACCAATTGAAATTTGTTTTATCTATTTCATATTTTGTAAAGCATTTATACTTATTGCATACTCATGTGTACGGCATGTGTTCTTATAAGTGGTAAAGGAATACAAACACCTTAATCACCACAACATTAGCACAGTTTTTCAGACGATGATCTGATTATTCATTGTTTAACACTAGCGAAAATATTCTTTCTTTACTTACCCAGCGAAAATATTCTTTACTTACCTGATGAACTCTTCCTATCTTTGTAATTTTCCTATGCTATGTGTCTTCAAGAGAAATCAGAAATAAAATTCCTACCATTCCTACCATAAGAACATGATGGCGTTTGAAACAGACTTCCCGAGGCTTCATTGAATATTATCATGTTGGTGGTGGCAACTACAAATAACGATTCCATCCTCCGAAGAAATGCATGAATAGCATGTTGGTGGCGATTGTGGTAAAATAACTAAGTTTAAAAAAAAATTAGCCAGTTTTATATGTTACCCTAATGTACTTATAAACCTTCCAACATATACGCACCAGCTACAAAAGTGGGGAAACGTACTTCTCTGTTTTTCAAGAAAATCTAGAGCTTTCTCATTAAATCTTGTTATATGCTATATAAATACCATCATGGTTAAATTACATTACATATTATGTTTTTTCAATACATCTGTTCTGTTTGTTGTATATCTGTATTCTCGTTTCAGATCATTTCGAAAACGGCATGAAGTTCGGATCTTTCTTAGCCTCGAAAGTTTTATTGCCGTCGACTGGAATTCTAATTCATTCCAAGTGTTTAATGACATGGTATCCATGACGAAGGTTTGCTGTTCTTTCTATCGTACTTTTCTTTCGCTAGTTTTTCAGCGAAGTAGGAAGTTTTAGATAGAAAGGACGTTGGTGAGAAATTACAGATTTCTGAGCAGTTTCAGAAAACTACTGACGAGATATAGAATAGCTGCAGCATAAGCATTTAAAGCTACAATCTGACTACTGATATGGATGGAATCCAGTAAAATGCTCTTCTGTTGAGGTAAGAATATGTGTAACTTTCTTTTTTCTTTAATTATTTAAATAAAACTATTTCAGATTCTTCAACGGAAATTTGTCGTCTGGAAAAAAAATTTTCTTCTCAAAGTTATATAAACATCTTCACTTTGTTTTGAGGAAAGAAATTTAGAATCCTCTGTCTGTGGTAAAAAAAAAATAATAATAAAATAAAATAAATAAATAAAAAAATAACAGCTAAACTTAAATACTTGTAGCAATTAACTTTATGTTTCTTTGCTGTTTCTTAGCTTTGAAATCATTCTTTTGAGATTCGGATTTAATTCCTTTGCATTTCTAAATACATATCTTTAATATTCAGTTTTCATTTAGCATAGTTTAAAAAAATTTTAAATGCATCGCAAGAAATGTTTACGACTTAGAAAATATTTAAATTCAAAACTAAATTGTCAAAACTTTGACATGATATATATGAAGAAAGAAAAGATGTCGAAAGAATAAAGCATAGTACATAAAGCTGTTATATAGCATGTGTATCGAAAGTAGAGACAGTGGAAATTGCCCAAAAACCTTAGGGGAATGCAATTATTACCGCTCTAAGGTTTTAATAAGGCTCTAAGGTTTCGAGAAATCAGCTACCAAGATGACGTTCATCGATTTTTTTGAAAGCTAAAACGTGGTGAGGAAAGAACACGTGCAGAAGTTTATATTATAACATATTTCCTCCCTATTCTCTGTATTCCTTCGTGCTGTAATGGTAGCACACATGGCGCGTATTCGAGAGGTTCGAGTCTGAGTCCCGGCAAGGGCATTGCTCATTTTTCACTTCTTCAGCATCAAAAATATCCTAATGACTCTACAGTATATTTAATTTCAAATATTGTAAAATATTTCAAATGTTTTCATTATAGGCATTTCGCATGTTTGTCCTACGCCATTTCCCATTCGTTTTTTCTTCCTTCCTCTCACCCCATTTGCCAGCGCAGATTCATCAGTTTCTGATGCAAAACAGTTTGCGATCGTGCACCATCTCCAGGACTGATGGAAGTTTTCTGCCCCTAAACAATTCGCTTTCTACAGAATCTAACTGTGGTTCAAAAGAATTTGATTTAACGTCAATGAAAACATTCAAATTGTTGTGACCAAGTGCTTTAAAGAAAATTCTTTTGAAGGACACTATTCCGGCGCCATGCAGATTTTAAAAACAGGTACACTGGAACCTCGAGATACGAGTTTAATTCGTTCCAGCGCTGAGCTCGTATAGCGAATTTCTCGTATCTAGAAACAAACTTCCCCAATGAAGATAATGGAAATCCAGTTAATCCGTTCCTCACCCCCAAAAATCTTATTACCGTCTCATCTTCAGTCGACGTACCTGGTGTTTTTCGGAGAGGTCCAAGTACAGATCTAGCTTAGCGCAATGATAGCTCGACACCGAATCACTTCAACTGCTTCTCGTTAATACACAACCAACAATGAACAGCTTCTCGCATATTCTGATTTGGACGGCGTTGGAAAAACGGTAATCCTTTGGCACATCAGTTCTTATTTCTTCCTTCTTCTCAGATGGAATTCCACAACTTGATAACGATCACTCGTGGAGTCATTAGTAATTTGGAAGGATATTGGAAGAGCACTGCCTTCGCCGGGCTCGAACCACGACTCTGGATACGGCCCGTGCGAACCTACACACAGGCACACTAGGAAAGTGGGAGAAATACCTTATAACTCTTATACCACACTTTTGTTTATCTATGATTTCTTTCTTAATTTCAACGGACATGGCTTCCTTCTTTTTCTTTGCAGCATTATCTGAGGCAACAGTCTTCTTGGGAGGCATCGTTAAATAGTTATTTTCATATTAAACACAAAAAATAATTAAATCACAAGCGTACAAACAACACTGAGTGATCTAACGAGGGGTTTCCCTGAGTCGAACCGGACCGAAAAACGCGCCATGCATACCAGCAGCCTGGTTCGTTGCTTTTCCGCTCATATTTTCCTCTTATCCCGAATTTCTCGCATATAGAGATGCTCATATCTCGACGTTCCACTAAATATGAAATTATTGAAACAACTACCTTGTGTTTGGCGTAGATTTAGTCAAAAACTCAATCGATTTTGAGGCAAACAGGTGCCTCTTCATCAGCAGCAAGGAAACCTGCAAGACTAAATCCATCTTTGCTCCTGATGAAGAGGGGCCTGTACCTATTTGCCCTCGAAATCGGTTAAGTTTTTGACGACTAAATCTACGCCAAACACAGGGTTGTTTGCTTTGCTAATTTTATGTTTCACTTTGGGGTGTTTCTCTTCAGTTTTCGTAGTAAATAGTTCAGCGAGTGATACGAATAACATTTCGGTCGATGATATCTTTAATAAGTTAATTCAACTCTTATTTAATTTCTTATTTAGTTTTTAAAATTTCTGTATCACATTTTTTATAACAGCAATGTTAGATGCATGTATGTAAATAAACAGATAATATTCCTGTGCTAATTTTATTTAGCGGGTGCGCAGTTTTTGGTTTTATAATATTTGTAGATTACTCCCATGTGAATGTTAATTTTATGCGCAGCAAATAAAAATATTTTAAGCTTGCATAAATTTAATTCTTAATTTTGCTTTTGATAAAACCGATTTGTGAATTAAATTAATCGAGCCAAACCAGCACGAGATCTATGAAAAAAAGCCTTGTCTTTGATAAATTTACCCATAACACAATATTATGTGTGAATTATATTTATCTTTTTGTAGAACTATATGCTTTTCTTTCAGATTGAAATTTTGAAATATCTGCTGAAGTATATGAGTGAAGAAGCTACAGATAAACTTGACCAGAACGATTTCAGTGATCCAGCCTTTAACTTAATGATGATGGACACTTTTCTGGGCCGAAAAGGAAAGGAACCAGACAAAATCCATTAAGATGGCTTAATGAAGACTGTGAATTTTAAAAATAAACGATATGCCAGTTTGTGTAAAGAAAGAATCAGAGGAAAAGATAAAAATACTCTTTTTATTTTGACTCTCAAAAATTGCGCATTACGGGAAGATAGAACTTCTATGTTGTGGTATCATATCGAAGATAAAGCGATTTAGATGTGATGATCTATGTAGTTCTGATAAATTGGACAATGAAATATATCATGGTGTTTTAAAGCAACTTCAACATCATTTATTGTAAACACAGATAATTCTTTTCTATTTAAAGAAGTAATACAGTCAAACTTCGTTATCAAGTCACCCGAACATTAGGCCATTCCACCTATTAGATCAAATCATTTTGGTTCTAACGAATTCCTGTTTCATTTCCGTGCAATATGTACTATTTAAGATATTTCTGAGATGCTCGTTATAGGTATCAAGTCATATCTAAGTTCACTCTTTGAGTAAAACTATACTACAGGCTCCTTTTTAGTACAAAATTTATCTCCAAACTGAAACTTGTTTCTTACCTCATCTTGAAAATCCATCAGATCAATTAACATCTATCAGTCGGGAAGCTAAACAAATTTGAGGCACAGATTTCTATAGAGAAGAAGATACACGTTTTTCTTAAATTACATTTCAACTTCTGTGTTTATCCTATCTTTTCACCCTCCCCCTCCTACCAAAGAAAAAAAGAAGAGTTTTCAGATTTTACCAGATTCTCGAGGTTTACCCAAAAAGGACTTCCATAATCTACCAATTTTCCCAAAAGGGGTTAACATGTTATGGTTTGGAGAAGGAAATTTACTCACGATTGAACTTCCTAAAATGACTGCGAGGGCATTTCTAAAAAAGTTCGATCAGACAGAATATATGTACAACTTAATATATAATTAGGACATTTTTATAAAGTACATGTCGCCTATTGCAGAAACATTATCCGAAATCCATAATTTTTTATATCAAACTAAACGTAGAGTTATCAATAGTTATTCCAGAAATCAAACAATAATTTCAAAATTTCTTCGCTCTAACAATATACTTATTATTTTATGTTCATAAATTCTTTAAAATATATTTTGATGCTTAATGATAATTATTACTCAATTTTATTTCATTAAATATATTATATATTTCTTCCCCCCGCTCCCCCCCCAAAAAAAACCTATTTTTACTATTCCAGATAAGTCCCTCCGGACAACAGGCAATTTTTTCCTTGTCTCAAAAGTGACCTCTTACCGAAGTTTGACGGTATTTAGTTTAAGATAGTATATCTTATAAAAATGTCATATATACAAATCTTATTGCTAATAAATATAAATACAAGAAATAAAGTATGGCATCATTTATTCCTAGTAGAATTTTATTTCCAAGCTAATAAGTTTCCTATAAAAATAGCGTTAATATTTTTTGCAAAATATGTGAATTATTTTTAATTTAATAATGTTTAAGTAATTCGTTTGTTACCTATGAAACTAAATATTACATTCTGTTATTAGTGTTGCACTGCATTAACGGTCACAGTATAATGCTCAAATTTACGTATTGATAGTATTGTGTTTATTATTGTAGTTTATTGCTTCTTTTCATAAATGTTATATTATCATAGTTGCGGTGATATTAAAAGTAAACGTTTTATGTTTACATCTGGTGATGAATTCGTAAATTAACTCATAACATCTATCTAATTCAAACGCATAGTATTCAGAATATACAAAAATTCAATTCGGGTTCGTAGGTAGTTTTTTACTTAATAAACAGGGATTGTGATTTTTAGTTTTGGCGACTTATTCTAGAGATTACAAAATATATTATTAAGAAGGCCGAAAGACCTTTGTGTTGAATTTCGCCTGCAGTAGCACTAGAGAACATTTCAAATAATACATATAAAGAAATCATTAATAACTGCATCGTATTTGTTGTTTGCGATCTCACTCAAAATAATTCACAGTTTATATTTTAATTTAAAAATAAAATTAAAAAAAGGTTTGTTTTTACAATTTTAATATTTATGTACTCCAATTTCTCAGGATAATGGTCAGATAACTAAACTGTTTATTCACTGAATAGTTTAGTCACTGAAAACGTGTTTAAAAGAATGAAAACTATTTTAGAATATTAGAAGTGCCAGGTTACTGGTATCTTCGACAAAGTTCAAGAATGTTATAAACGTGAAGTTGAACTAACACTATAACTTCAATCTAGTGAACCTTACACGAAAGCTTTTTTTACGATTTACTATAGCCCATATTACGTAAAAGATACCATATGCACAAATACTGATACTTTAAAAACTTCTATTTTCCTATCTTGTTACTAAAACTCATTAAACTCTCATTTATTATTCATTTTTCATTCTAGAATGGAAAGAAATTTCGAAATCTAGTTTTAAAATCTCGTGCGATTCTGTAAGCTTTTGAGTTATGAAATTATCTAAACGAATTTGTGGTTTCTTTAACTTTTTTTTTATGCAATGAATATCTAATTTCGAATTTCAGTAAATATAAAAAATGTTCAGATAATTTCATTTAAATTGCCTTCCGATCCCCTTTTAAGCAAAGAATGTTTTCTTATGAATGTTAACATTTTACTGGCATTTGTAAATTTTAATGCCGTCTGTGTTTGCATATGTAGAATTTAAATGAGTTTTTTTAAGTTTTACATCAGACTAATCTACACAGTTCCAACTGTAATTCTTGTCGGTGTGTATTTCCACCGAAAACCGAGCAGTTATGCAAAATACCGCAATTGCCGGCGTATAAGACGCACTTTTTTTCTTTGAAAATAGGCCTGAAAAACAGGGTGCGTCTTATACGTCGATATTGCGTCTTGTACTTCGATACTCAGTTTATTCGGAGTTGGCATTTCGCAAGCTTGTGAATGGGTCAAAGCTTCACGTGATGCTGTGAAAACAGAGACAGTGGTTAAATCATTTAAGAAGTGTGAAACGCGAAAACAGTAATGCACTGCATGGTGCAGAGGACAATTTGTTGTATTGTAGAAGAGTATTGTAGAAGTATATTTGTTGCATTGTGCAATTTTGTAGAAGAGATTTCAAGTGACACTTCACTTAGCTTTGGAGATGAGTATCTGGGTTCTGACGAAGAAGATTAAAAGGTGTTCTATCCCAGATAGATTGGATATTTGCAGAAAATATTACTTTATATTTAAAATACTGTAAATTCATTATAATGAGCAGTAATAAATTTTTCCTTCAAAAGCGCATAAAAAGGGGAGCGTCTATAGGCCGTGCGTCTTATATGCCAGCCAATACATAATTAATTCACAGCGTATTTTTTTTGTACGATTGACGAACGCATTAATTTTAAAATCAAGATCGAAATAAGGAAAACGACTTACGATTTTATTATTTAGTTATGCAAACTGTCTACTTTTTTTAATTTTAATTGTATACATATACTCAAATCTCTAATGTTCCATTAAAATTTAGAAAGTTTTTCTGGAAAATATTCACTAAATTTACCATATTTATCATTTTACTTCTATTTTATTAATTATTTATTTAGAATGCTTTTACTCTATTTAATTATACTTATTACTTAGAATGCATTAGGAATAAATGTCTTTCATACCATGTAATATTCGATTTAAAAACCGTCGTTTCCTTTGGTTTAGACGTTATAAAGAAATAATATACTTAATATTCAAATACTACATGGGTTTTGTATAATTAATTTCTTTATTTATGAAATTGCGCATAATGAGGAAACAATTACGAACTGAAATATACCATTAATGCTGCTATTTAAATATCCAGAGTAATGTAGGATTCTTAAATCTTCACATCTCAACTTCGTATGATAGTTCTTAACCGAAACAGCATATGTATATGCTGTATATAGCTATATTATTTTTTAATATTAATGTTTGTATAGATACATAAAAAACTTTATTAATCTAAAATTCAAAACAAAATTTTTTAAACCTGTTCGCGCTGTAGCTGTAGGCGAAGTAAAATCACTTAAAGCAGCTCAGTTAATATTAATTGGAATAAAGAGAGGCAGTTCGTCAACAATATTAAGAATCGGTACCCGTTAAGATGTTTAACCCAATAACTAAACAAATTAAATTAAATAGAATCATGTAGAACAACTCGAAAATAAAAATAAGTGAAACGTAAGTATAAAAAAATATAAAAATTATCTCTTTACTGAAAACTCCAATTCAGAACTCATTGGTGGAAATGAATTAAATCTAGAAAGTCAATTAATATGTTTTGTTCTCCTGGTTCATTTGAGATCAAAAATCGAAAAAAGATTCAATTAAATTTTCGGTCTGTAAAATATTACCTACGAGGAAATGATTGTCACTCCAAAATGTTGGCGAAGAAACTTCTAAAAGATGCTGGCCTCTGTTAAAATCTTAAAACGCGAAAACACTGGCTAAAGTGAGGAAAGTAAAAATATATTGTAAATAAAAGCTTCACGTAATCGGGTTCATACATCTTTAAAATATAAGCCCCACTTTTTTTTTTTTTTTTTTTTAGAAGCGCCGATTTGCCAGTTATTAAACTACAAAACAGTAGAAAGATAGTATAATAATTAAAAGGGAAGATAAACAATCTTGAATTTTCATAAATTTTTTATCGTCATCCAACTGTTACCTCCGATTAGGATTTAAGTAACAATTATCATATCACTTTAAATGAGAAATTTAAACAAAAAAGTAGTTAATACCAGCTTTCTTTACAGATATAGAAATTTTGAATAGAGTGTTTTATTCAATAAGGGAATTTTGACTAAGTTAGTGATTTTTTTTCTGGTAAGTATTCGATATTGTTGGAAATAGTTTTGATTTTATGGAGCTGAGTATTGGTATTAGGTATTACTTTTTTGGAGATATTGGAGTGCCAATGTTTGAATTTAGTAGTAGGGAAATCAAAATCTCTTCTTTTGTCGTAAATTTTAATTTCTTTAAAATTGATTATTGCAAATCTAGGTAATTAATATCTCCTTGTTGAAAGTTAGTTTTATTGAAAGGTGATCGTATTTATTGATTGAAGTGGATTGCATAAATCTCCATGTACTGTAAGTTAGAGTAATATGAACGTGATTGAGATAAGTTGAAAATGAAATTTCTTTAGAAATATTTCGAATACTCAATAGTGCCCCTCAGGGGGCTCACTTTTGTGAGTACGGGTGTGGCAATCCGAGGTACCCTAGCCCTTCAGGGGATCATCTTCTTGGATGAGACGGGTGTCACGATCCTGGAGCCCCAGTGATCTATCCTCTTTTCCGTCTCCTCTCCTCTTGGCTGGAACTTTTTCCCTTCCCTTCTCCCTTGTGGTTTCTCTCTACGGAGTTTGGGGCTCGTCACGAGAGACTGGAACAGACCTTGTTCTAGTTTTCGAGTGGCGAGAAAACTGCCCACGTGTTTGCCGTGCGTGGAGACCCGTGTCGCTGGAAAGGAGGGTCCTGGTAGTTGAGGGGCGAGGTACTGTCCCCAACACACTGCTTTGGCCTCTGCTTCAGCTAAACGGGAGGCACCTTAGTCGTCCTCACGGGTGTCAATCGGCTGGTCACTAGTCCTTGTGTCAGTGGCTTGGGGTCAAGCTCTCGGGAGTACCTGCTTTCGGGAAAGCCGACTGTGGGGCTTCAGTTTGCGTATAGGTCCGGCTAGCCCTAAACACAGGAATCTGTGTTCCCTTGTTGGGCTCCGTGGTGGGCGGGGCCGTCGGACCCGAATCTTTTCTTTTTCAATATGGCTTCCTATTTTCTTAAAAATCAAATGAAAAACGACCAAAGTATGAAATAATTGAAAATTTTACTAAGAAAATACGTACCGATGCAAATGCCAAAGAATCTACTGATAATCCACGCTTCTTGTTGTTAGTCTCTAGTCCTTCTGGTGAAACTGCAAAAGATGTCTCCTTTCTCGTAAGCAAATATATCCATTCTTGTATAGGTGAGCCAAAGAATATAAAGCGTCTCCGTTCTGGAGACCTGCTTATTAGATACTGTCTCGGCCAACCCAGTCTGCTTCCCCTTTTGTCACAAACCAAACTTGGAAATGTAGCTATAACTGTGTCAGCGCGTAAAACTCTGAATTTTTGTAGAGGTGTGATCTCGGAAATCGACCTTCTGTTGTTGTTTCAGAAGAAGAGTTCGTTTCCGAGTTAGCTGACCAAAAAGTCTGTGGTGCTAGGCGGATCAAGATGCGTAAGGAAGGTCAGTTGACTGACACGAAAACACGTGATCCTTGACCTTCAAATCGCCTGATCTGCCGGAAGAATATTAAGGCCGGATATCTTAAATTGTCCTGTAAGACCTTATATTCCAAACCCTATGCGATGTTTCCAATGCCAGCGTTTTCG